GCCAACGGCGGGCGGGCGCGAGCTCCGTGTTGGCGGCGCGGAAGGGGACGGCGGCTCCCGCCCGGCCGCGCTGCCGCCGCTGCCACATCAGACGCCTCATGCCGCCCGCTTCCGCTTCCTCCTGCAGCTCGGCGGTGCTGCCGCTCTACCCCCTAGCGCCCGCCGCCTCTATGGTACGGGAACCCCCGCCCTGCGCGCGCTCACCCATGACGCAACCCAGGCCGCGCCTCCGCCCGCGGCGCGGTGCACGCTGGGACCTGCAGTACCCTGGCCGCACGCGCCAAGAGCCGGCTGAGCGTAGGGAGCGAGACGGGACTCTGTTTCCCAGAGTGACGTCAGCACCCCGGCCTGGGTGACGTTCCGCGTCTCTATTGGCCGTCGCTGTGGAGGGGGCGGAGCGTGCGCACGCGGTAGCAGCTGTCCTGTTGCGACAGAAGGAAGGCGCGGAGTCGCCGGTGAGGGGCCGCGCAGCGCGCCGGGAGAGCGGGGGCGCCGGGCGGGGGCCTCGGCCGGGGCTGCCTCCGGGTCCGGGGCGCCGCGTGCTCTGGGCGGCGCAGCGCAGCGCTGCCGGGGAGGGGAGCGGCGGGCGGCGCGGCCTAACGGCCCTTCTCGTCCCGCAGCCGCCGTCCCACCATGCCCTCGGATCTGGCCAAGAAGAAGGCGGCCAAGAAGAAGGAGGCGGCCAAGGCCCGACAGCGGCCCCGCCGCGCCGCCGAGGAGAACGGCGATGCGGGCCCAGAGCCGCAGGACGCGCGGCCCCTGGAGGCCAACGGGACGATGGCGCCAGGTGAGCGCGGCCCGCGGCGCCAGGCCGGATCCACCGCGCTGGGCCGGGTGCCGGCGGTGGCAGCACTTGCTCCCCTCGGAAGCTGTGTGGCAGCGCATCCTTACTCGACTCGCCTGGGCAGCCCCGAGGGTGCTGGGTTAGAGAACTGGGACATTCATCCCTCCTCAGATAAAGTTATAGGCAGGCACAGGACTGTGGGCCGGGCCAGCTGCCCTCTCTTCTGTTAGGGTGCTCCCTCCTGGCAGCCGGCAGGACCTCACACACTGCAGGGTGGTGTCCGCTAGCTGGTGACTGAGGTGTTCACTGCCCTCCTTGGAGCCTGTGGAGTAAGGCTGGATGGTGCCAGTGGAGCTGTTTGCCTTGCAGATACCAACCTGATTTACTGCCTCTTAATACCCTGCTGTGGCTGCAGGAGCCACTGCAGTGCCTCAGTGCTCAGCTCTTGTTGTTGTCAGCCTGATACTGCTGTGGAGAAGCAGCTGTGCAGCTGCTTCTCTGGTGCGGCTCTGGCTTGCCTAGCCTCGGAGCCTGGAGAGCATAATGAGAGAAACTTTGTCAACAGATATTGATTGTCCTAAGGAAACAGACTAGGGAAAGCTTGAGGGGAGAGAGTTCATTCTTGGTCCTTATTGTGCCCAAGCTGTTTGCCCAGGAGTTTATTTCCCAGCAGCAAAGACTCCAGGTCTCTCCTCTTTGCCGGGTCAGAACGGCGAGGCCGGGCCCCCCACCAGAACTCCGTGACCTCTGCAGCCTTTGCGCTGTCGGGAGCCGCAGCTGCAGCAGGGTTGAGCACGGCGTGCTATGCGGCGGGGCTGAGCGGGGCCCGGCGGGGCTGAGCGCGGCGGCTCTGCCTTGCGGCGGGGCTGAGCGGGGCCCGGCGGGGCTGAGCGCGGCGGCTCTGCCTTGCGGCGGGGCTGAGCGGGGCCCGGCCGCGCCGGGCCGGCCTCGGGGCCTCCCGCTCCGACCCGGCGCCTCCACGCGCCGCAGCCAATCGCCGCGCGCTCTCCCCACTCATTTGCATGTCACCCTCCTATTGGTAGAGCCTGGGAGACGCGAGCTGGATGGGCAGGGCTGGGCCGGGGGCGCCGTGGTCGCCACGTGGGGCTGGTGCCGCCGCAGCTGCACTCGTGCCGCGTGGCCCCGTGCCGTCCCGTGCCGTCCCGTGCCGTCCCGTGCCGTGCCGTGCCGTGCCATGCCGTGTCGCGCAGCCCCGCCCCGTGCCGTGCCGCCCCGTGCCGTGCCGCCCCGTGCCGTGCCGCCCCGTGCCGTGCCGCCCACCCCGTCCAGCTGCCGCTCCCGGCCCGGGCTGGAGAGGCAGGCAGCGCTCTGCGCGGGCGCACATTGCTAGGCGGTAACGCAATAGAGCAGGTGCAGGTGGCTCAGGTTGCCGAAGCACGCACTGGGCCTGGGGCCATTGCCTGGCCTTGGCCTGGCCGCAGGGTCATTGGGCACCCTTGACTGGGCTGCTACACTGCTGTGGGAATTGGACGGTGGGGTAAGTGGGTCACCAAATGCATACTCTGCACTTGCAGCTCCTTGAGAAATAGCTGCACAGCACAGAAGACTTCTGTGCCTCTCTTGTCACTCATCTGTCACTCATCTGGTTTCTTGTTTATGCAACTGCTCTGCTTGCATTGAAAGTTCTATTAAAGGGGGCCTGTGTCAGCATGGTGTGCAGTGTCTGCTCCTTCCTGCCCAGTGTGTATCTTCCTGCAAGGTGATAGTAACTTTATTGCCAGTTTGGCTGTAAAAACCTAATTCCTAGCAAAACCTGTCATGCAATAAAGTTACTATCAGTGCTCATATCTGAACGCCAAGGTATGAACATCAAGTCTCTGCTCTGGAAAGCTGAGATGCCTAAGGGGATGTCCCTCTTCAGATGGCAGGGTCTCCCAAAGGAATGAAAGATTGTAACTCAGGGCTTCAGGACAGAAGATCATCAGCAGGACAGGAAATGTCTACGTTAGTTGTAGGAAGAGAGGAAGAGGGAGCCAATTGCTTCTTGAGAATTGATAGGGCCTCTCCAAGTGCCACTTCTCTCTTCTTTCCTGTCACGTGTTGCCTAGCTAAATTCACCTTATGCCAGTGCTTTTCCCTAAGAAGCAACACTTCTTAGCTTCCCCCATCCTCAGCCTTCCTCCAGAGAGTGGTAGTGCCCTTGTACTCTGGCAACAGGCAATCTCTTCTGTCAGCTACTTCTAATGGTCGAGCTTTATTTATAGATTAGGTGAAAGCTGCTCTTAGACTACATATAACCTTCTGGTAAGCTGAAAAAAAAGAAGTATCTTAAAAACCTTTGGGCTTCCTTAATGTTTCTGTAGCAGTGGGAAAGTAGAGTTTGTTTCCAGGGTTCTTGGACCTGCCAGGATAGGGGCTCTGGCTTCTCTTGTGAGTGTAAATCAATAACATTTTGGTCTGTTTCTGTGTATAGAGGTGGATGCCCTTACAAAGGAACTGGAAGACTTTGAGTTGAAGAAAGCTGCGGCCCGTGCGGTGACAGGAGTGCTGGCCTCCCATCCCAACAGCACCGACGTGCACATCATTAACCTCTCGCTGACCTTCCATGGCCAGGAGCTGCTGAGCGATACAAAGCTGGAGCTGAACTCAGGGAGGCGCTACGGCCTCATTGGCCTCAATGGCATCGGTGAGCTGCGGGGCCTGGTGGAATGGGTGTTCTGGAGCTCAGAGGAGACTCGGTGGTGCTGAAAAGATGGATGGATGGAGATGGTAAATGCTAGAAACTAGAGAAAAGGTTGGTAGACAGGCCAGCTACATGATGACTGTCCTGCCTATCTTCAGGTCAGAAAGAGGGATTGCTATAAAGAGTATGAGATTGTGTTCTAGCTTTGAACTAGGCCTTTCCTCAAATTCAGGTGGAGCTCCCTGTGCTTCAGTTTGTGACTGTTGCCTCTTGTCTCCTATCACTGGGCACCACTGAGAAGAGCCTGGTCTCATCCTTTGAACAGCTTCCCTTTCAGTATTTATACACATTGATAAGATCCCCTCTCAGACTTCTCAGTAGGCTGAACGGGCCCATCTCACAGGAAAGATGTTCGAGTCCCCTGATATCTTTGTAGCTCTAAATATTTTTGATGTGTTCCTGTGGAGATTAGAAAAAAAAATGCATGTAATCTGATACCTCTTTACAGGCCTTTTTATTGTTTTTTATATTTTTTTTAGTGGTGTCACTAAGGTAAATGCTACCGGTGGAAAAAAATCTCGCAGAGTGTGGAGGAATATGGAATGTGTAGTTTGGCCTGAATGGGAAAACAACTTCTCAATGCCAGTCATTGCAGAAGATGACAATGTTGTAGATGGAGAGATGCAGAGTATGGGGTAATTGAAGAGAAGCTAGTAAGAGGGTTCAGCTAACTTAACTGTAAGGGAAATTCTTACTGTCTCTAGTGGTGAGTGCATTGCTTCTTCCTGCATTAGAAGTAGTTTTTAAAGCCTGGGGTTGTATCTTCCTGTAGTAGATGTTAGACAGTAGGAAGTGTACAACAGAGATAAAACTCTCCAAAGCAGAGCACAAGCTGAAGTTTAGTGCTTTTCAAAGAGTTTCTTCATGTCTCTGTCCTGTCCTTGGGATGGTGCTCTTGAGCTGGGAGGACAGCCTATTGCAATGAGGCAGTCGGTTCTAGTTCTGGCTTCCAAGAAAGTTCCAAGATTTTCTTTGTTTGGCAGAGGAGTGAATCTGAGACCTGAATAGATCTCATGTGTTGCTTTGTTACCTTGAATCTTCTTGAACCTAGTGAATAATTTTGGAGTGTCTGTCTGTACGCAGGGAAGTCCATGCTCTTGTCAGCTATTGGAAAACGAGAAGTCCCCATCCCAGAGCACATTGACATCTACCACCTGACCCGAGAGATGCCTCCCAGTGACAAGACCCCTCTACAGTGTGTGATGGAGGTGGATACGGAGAGAGCCATGTTAGAACGAGAAGCAGAGCGTCTGGCTCATGAAGACGGTAAAGCTCCTTAGATCCCCTGTGGGCAATTGAGATTTCCTCTACTTTCCCTCCCCTGTCAAGAGAAGGCCTCATTTGGGTTGCCTGGCAGGGATTTTGCACGTTTAAGTACCTCTTTCTCCCAGCTGCCTCATACTAGTTTGAGTTCTGTAGGATTCCAGTTCCTATTTAGGTGAAATTATGCTGGGCAGCTTCTTAGGGAGTGTCTTAGACCTGTGAGTAGAGGAGGCTGAGTAGTGAACCAGACAGACCATGAGTTTCCCTAGCTGGGGCCTGCGGTTGAGAGCCCTTTATTCGTAGATGCGCTGACAGGCAGGCTGTTTTTCAGCGGAGTGTGAAAAGCTCATGGAGTTGTATGAACGTCTGGAGGAATTGGATGCTGACAAGGCAGAAGCACGGGCCTCCCGTATCCTGCATGGTTTGGGGTTCACTCCAGCCATGCAGAGGAAGAAGCTGAAGGACTTTAGTGGTGGCTGGCGAATGAGGGTGGCACTTGCTAGGTGAGTGGTGTACTGCCTGCTTGCTCCTGGGAGAATGCTTATCTGGTCCTGACTCTTTCCAGGAACTTGGGGAAGAGCAGGGAGGCTCTGAGTGCCTGCATTTACCCTACCCTGTCATCTTTTCTTGCCTTACAGAGCCCTATTCATTCGGCCATTCATGCTGCTGCTAGATGAGCCCACAAACCACCTTGACTTGGATGCCTGTGTGTGGTTGGAGGAAGAGCTGAAAACGTAAGCATGGAGTTCGCTGGTTTTGTGAGTTGTGCTTCCCTGCAGGAGGATCTGGTCAGTGAGCAAGCTCCACAGGAGTAACCATTCTGATGGTGGCTGCATGACTATGTTGTAGTACCAATGATGTCTTACTGTTCTGACCACTGCATGTTTCTGATGCAAGAAGGGTTTCTGATGCAAGGGTATCGGATACAAAATAAGCCTTTGACATTCTTCTAGTGAAGAAAGGAAAAATACTGATCTGTGTTCACTGGGCAAACTACTTTCTAAAAACTGGAGTGGCCCTGGCAGCCCCAGTAGCAGCCCTGCATGCTGTGCCAGCAATGTGAACTTTACAGATCAGGCTGCCTGCTCGCTTTTCTGTATATTGTTCCTCATTTTTTTCAGAACTAGAGTTTCTGAGCTTGGCAGCTTCATCTGTTTCTACTATGTGAGAAAAACATTTTAGTGAACAATGTTAAAGTAGTAATACTTAAGGCCGAAGGTTTAGGAACAGTTATGAAGTTCAGGTTATCTAGGTTGGCAGTTAAAAGGGCTGGATGCAGGCATTTGAGAAAGGCTTTTCATTTCCAGAGGTTATTCCACTAGCTGCATCAGCTGAAACTTTTGCATGCTTTTCTTTTTTTTTCTATCGCCTGTTTTAGGAAAGTAATTTGAACATCTCTCTTCTGGCAAGATATTAAACAGTCATTTTACAGATTTAGAGCTATGCATATTTTATCTAAGAGACTAGTAGGCTCCAGTAAGGTGAAGATAGGCAGCAGAGGTTGGAACTTATAAAGAGTGTGACACCAGCATGAGTTCTGTCAATAGCAGTAGTAAACCACTGCGCAGATAGCCAAGTTGTGACTATTTATGAAGACTGGGACCCCTATACATACGGTGAAGACTGTCATGACCAAATGACGGTTGTCCTCTCACAGTAACTGTGTGTAGTTTCTTTGCTCCAGGCTTCCCACAGTATCTCCAAGACTATTATCTTTGTTCCTAGTTTGTCCATAGATAAGACAATTCTTATGAATGTCAATCCTTTGCCACTGTCAGGGCTGCCAAGCAAGAAGCCTTTACCCGGCTTTGTCTCTAACAGCTTATATGGTGCCACAGGTTCAAGCGGATCCTTGTGCTGATATCCCACTCCCAGGACTTCTTGAATGGTGTCTGTACCAACATCATCCATATGCACAACCGCAAACTGAAGTACTACACAGTGAGTGAATGGCACCCGGGCAACCAACAAAAACAGAGGAGCTGAACTCTGGGACATATATGATATTTCTATGGTCTCTTTCTCTAGGGAAATTATGATCAGTATGTAAAGACCCGCTTGGAGCTAGAGGAAAATCAAATGAAGCGTTTCCACTGGGAGCAAGATCAGATTGCCCACATGAAGGTATCTGCGTAGCTGCCTGAACATCTTTCTGACCATACATGTGAGCGACCCTGTACCTCCTCAACCTTGTCACTGTGGCTTTCAGACTGACTCCTGTTTTGTTGCAGAACTACATTGCACGATTTGGTCATGGCAGCGCCAAGCTGGCCAGGCAAGCCCAGAGCAAGGAGAAGACCCTTCAAAAAATGATGGCTTCTGGCCTAACAGAGAGAGTGGTGAATGATAAGGTATGATGAGACATGATACTGTGTTTGGAGATGAGAATTGTCAACATGAACTGTATAAGCTAAATAAGTAACATGAGCTTTAGTGGACAGCAAGAATGACTGATAGACCTGTAAGCAAGAGTGGGATGCCCTTCATAATGCCAGAAGGGTGACTTCAGTGAGGACAGTGAAAGGCTGAGGAGTGGAAAGAGGAGTCTTAGTCTTCCAAGGAAGAGAAGGAGATTTGTCACACAACTAGGGGCATTTTGCAGACCCAGAAATGCATGGGAGAAGATCGGGGAAGATGCCAGAGAACCACTCATTGGTTGAAGAGGATAAATCCGCATATGCATCAAGGGGAGAGAAATATGGGATCATTAGCTAGTAAACAGGCTTGCAAACTACTCAGAGTAAATTTGAGTGAGTTGCTGGAGGGCCTTGTAAATTATCAGGATGGTGCTTTGGTCTAGAGATGACTGTAGTGGGGCACAGTCATCCTGGTGTAAATGGGCTGTTTTGTGCTCCAGAGTGTCTAACAAGTTGATATTCTGTGTTAACAGACTTTGTCATTCTACTTCCCTCCATGTGGGAAAATCCCCCCTCCTGTCATCATGGTGCAGAATGTCAGCTTTAAATACACCAAGGATGGGGTGAGTATGTGGCATGTGCAGCAATGCCTAACTCTTGTTTGGATTGTATGGAGATTGCTCCCGTCTTTGTCTTGTTTTCAGATGTAAGACTTTTGACTAAGCAATCTGATCGAGTTGTCATGTATTACTAGTAGATGAAACTTCTTGATAGTGTTCATACCGAGTCATTTGGGAACAGAGCTTTTCAGGTACAGCATGGATATTCTGGGTCGTAGTGGAAAGACATAATGTGTGTCATAATCTTCATATTTTGCAGGCATGGATTTATAATAACCTGGAGTTTGGGATTGACTTGGACACCCGTGTAGCTCTTGTTGGACCCAATGGAGCTGGAAAGTCAACACTGCTGAAACTGCTGACGGGAGAAGTATGTGTACTTTCTAACTGTTGTGTGCTTTTAGTCTTGGGGCAGGCTCCAGGGAAGCTGTGCTAATTTGTCAAAGCACCCCAATCAAGCCTTGGAAATCCAGGGTCTCGCTCCAGTACAGGACTTTTCTCTCACACTAGCTTTTCAGACTACCTCTTCTGTGCTGGGGAAGAAATGGCTGGTGTCAATTTGTTCTTGTGTATCACAGAAGGAGCAATTGCATGATGAAATGCTTTTATCTTCCCCCTTCTAGCTGCTGCCCACAGACGGAATGATTCGCAAGCACTCACATGTGAAGATCGGCAGATACCACCAGGTACTCTGTGCAGTTGACACCAGGCACATGAAATACTGATCAAAAAGCTGCCAGGAAAGAGGAATCCTGCCCTCCCATTTCCACTTAAGCTTCTCTCACTACTGTTGTTGTTCCCAGAGTCAAGGGAAATAACTGTTCTCTGTTGGCTGAACGGGCTCTAGCCAATGCCCCTCCCCGCAAAAGAGGCTTACTATGTCCTTTCTGTTCAGCTTCTTTCTTTTTGTGGGAGAGTGTCTTGTAATTAGTGCTGAAAGAGCTTGCACTTCTGAAGCAGCACCCTGAAATGGAGACTCCTTACCTCACAGCTCAGCACAGTAGTTTTACTGGGGGTGGAGTTGTCATCTCTGGTTGGCTGTTCAGCTGGTATCAGAGAGGTGTAAGTAGAGAGGTGCTCCCAGTCATGAGGTGGGTGGCCTGCATAGCCTGAAAATCTCTTCTTTTTTGTCAGCACTTGCAAGAGCAGTTGGACTTAGACCTCTCACCCTTGGAGTACATGATGAAATGCTACCCAGAGATCAAGGAAAAAGAGGAGATGAGAAAAATCATTGGCAGATATGGTCTAACAGGGAAACAGCAGGTGAGCATGACCTATTGGAGTTTGTTTTTTGCTCATTAGGGAAGTGTAGCTGTCACATTTTCTTTTGCTCTACTGATGTCTGACAATGTGACACAACATGTGGCACTGCATACTGCAGCTTCTAAATGCCTTCTTCCATCTCCTCATTTAAAACTGGACATAAAACATTGTAGGACCTTTCCTTGTGTTGCACCAATGTGTGGGTTGGAATGGGTAACCTCCCTCATAAAAGTTTGCTTATCTCCATTTCTGCAATAAATGCCAGGCAGAGTTGCCAGAACAGATTTTTAACTGGGAGAAGGGACTACCTGACTCAGACAAGAGAACAAGTTCTCCAGTGATGCTGTATGTCAAGATGTGACATGCTCCCATGCACCATATATACATCAGGGGCTGTCCTCACTTCTGCAGTTCAGCCTTGATTTTTGTACTGTCCTTCTCCATTGTTCTCTTCAGAATTTGAAAGTAAGTTTAGGCTTCTGTTAGGATGTAGTAACACTGTTTCTTGGAACCCTTACCACAAGCTGAATGTCGTTATGGACATGCCAGAAGCCACAAGAGCCCATTTATTCTGCTGATGAAGGATGCTTAATCTAAGTATAAGCCTGGTACTGTTGTCCACTTGTGTCATGTAGCTGCTGCAAGCAAGTTGAAATTTGAGTATTTTGTGGTCAGTGCTGTAATGTAGGGACTGGTGTTATAAGCATACCTGCAGGTCTGTGATCAGTGTCTGTGCTTGCCAGGTGAGCCCCATTCGGAACCTCTCTGATGGGCAGAAGTGTCGCGTGTGCTTTGCATGGCTGGCCTGGCAGAATCCTCACATGCTTTTCCTGGATGAACCCACCAACCATTTGGACATAGAAACAATAGATGCTCTGGCAGATGCTATCAACGAATTTGAAGGAGGAATGATGCTCGTCAGCCATGACTTCAGACTCATCCAGCAGGTAAGGAGGGTAATGAATTTTGGCAAAATACTTTTCAAGCTCCTTCTGAGCAGAGACATTGAAATGAAGTGTTTTAAACTGATTTGCTCTAACTCACCCCCAAACAATGTGTGAAGCAGAAATCACTGGATATGGTTTCTCTGTGATATGCTGAGTGGTTATGTAGCCTAGAAAAAAAAAATCACTTTAAACTAAAAAGCTAAGAATAAGTTCAGTGGAAATCATGACTCATCGTGGAGGTTTTAATTAGATTTTTTTAAAAATGGTACTGAACTACCAGAATTTTCTGTGACTTAAGTCTGCAGAGGCAAGGAGAGTTGTTCTTGATTCCACATATGTGGAAATGTAAGATGCTGGTTTTCCAACGGTGTTTTCCTTTGCAAATTCAGAGATAATTTTATTTTTCTGTGCAAGCAGTTCAGCTCAGTAACTACCTTTTCAGTTCCCAATCTAAAAAGAAAGGATTTTTTTTTCTTAGTTTATGAATTAAGAGGAAATGTTGGAGGGGTCAAAGATTCTTGATTCTAAAATCTAAAAGTGTAAATTGTTTAGAAAACACTGTATAAAATATTTCACTACAGATACTTCTATTTGACAGTTTAATGGATGAAAACTGTTAAACTACTTTATTACCAGTCTGTAGAGGGTAGATGTTGATTAATTCTATCACTTTGATAACATTATAAAATACTGTACTGTAGACCTCTCCTCCCTGCTCTTGTGTGTTTTCAGGTTGCACAGGAGATCTGGGTCTGCGAGAAGCAGACAATCACGAAGTGGCAAGGAGACATCCTTGCTTACAAGGAACATCTCAAGTCAAAGCTGGTGGATGAGGATCTGCAGCTCACCAAAAAGACCCACAATGTGTGATCTCTAGAGCAGTCGGCGAGGTGCTCTCTGTGGAGACAGACAGTGGCCACTGTGACCTCCCACCTGCCGACTGGAATGGAACTCTGCTGCTATCTCCTTGGCTGTGTTCTAGGATTGCTGCAATACTGCTTCCCCCTGACTTGCCTTGCACCTCCACATCTGGACAGATCTCCTCTCCTGATCTGGCTATGTTTGGGCAACCACTTCCATATTTAGATAATGTCCCATCTAGAGCCAGGCCTTGGAATCTAATGGCCTGGGGTCTTAGCAGTGGCAATTGGCTGTCTGCGTTGCAGTGATGCTGTAGTGGAGACCCCAGCCCAGCTTTTCCCACCTTCTCCTTCCCAATTTCTGCTTCGGTTTAGATACTTCACTTCAAACTTCTCTGGCCTTGGTTTGTTTTTAACTATTATTTAACAGTGTAATTAACAGATCTGCCTGAGAATCCAGTCAATAAAGAGGGAAGAACAGTCTCCTCTTGTTTTGTGAGCTGTACTAGTTTTTGGGATGTGGTGGGGCAAATTAGCCAGTGTTGACTCTGTGTGTGTGTGTGTGTGTGTGTGTGTGTGTGTGCGCGCGCGTGCGTGTGTGTGTTTAAGGAGGTAGGGTCCTCTCTTGGGGTATTTTTTTTCCAGCTACTGAAAAAGGGGACCAAACCACTCTTATTATTTTTTTAAACAGATACATCTCTGAGTGATTTTGAGGATTCAAAATTAGAAATAGAAAGTGGAGCTATTAATTAGCAGTATGTTTTCTGCAACAGGGCAGCTGAGGTATATACTCCTTCCTTCACTTCTGATTATATGGCTTTAATATGGAGCTTTTAAAGATGTTTGGACTATAAATTAGTTACTTGATCCTTGCACATTTGACTGAGCAAAACTCAACAGAGATATTTTTATATTTATGCTTACCTTTTATATAAATTTTTATAAGAGTTGATGCTTAAACCTCACCTTGTGCCACGGAAGCTTGAAACTTGAATAATTTCTTGAATAAAAGACATTTTTCCTGTGTTTATAAAAAAGGAAAAGTTACTTTAAAAAAGTAGCAAAACCAATATACTTGTGATCATGGTTTATCATTTTAATTACATCTAGCATATGAGAATAGTTACATTGGTCATCTGAAAAGTTCATATAAATGACTACCAGGTTCCAACAGAACATGTTCATAGAAAAGCAGAAGTGCAGGACAAAATGTAGCTGTTCTTTCTTGAGGTACTTGGGTGCCAATTATTTGTGGCTCTGTTTTTTTCATCAGAATTTTTTTTTTTTTTTTTTTTTTTTTTTTTTTTTTTTTTTTTTTTTTGCTAATGGATCCATTTAAGTTGTATACTGCTTTGACAGAAATCCACCAGACAGATACCACAGTAGGTTTTCTGTTCCTGTTCAGAGCAAAAGGGGCTGCTACTGTTTAAGGTGTTAGCTCCCTGCACTGGAGAGAGCGGTTAGTAGAGCAGATCAGTAAACGGTAATGCACATGCATGCACGCTTAAGCAGGGAGAGTTTCAGCCTTGATTTAAACCTGGTCTGTCATGACAGTTCATTAGACTGCGCTGAAACAGCTACAGCAGGCGTATGTCCTGAGTTACTGATTGCTGTGGGAAAGGCAGCCACCAGCCAGGGCAGCTGCACCTTACGCTCATCTCGTCATACACAAAACCAGACTTAGAGCTAGACAAACAGTGATGAAAATTGCTCCTTAGCTCCTCAGATGGTGAGCTCTGTGAAAGAGAGGTTAGAGCCTCTATGCTGCTGCTGCTGTTTGTGAGCTACAGCCAAAAGTGGCAGGTGCTTTGCCAGCACAGGGCTTTGGGACTGCCGGCCTTTGTTGTCTTAGGAGTTCTCCTATATGCTGTGAAAAGAACAACGAGTTTAGCCAAGCATCCAGCTTCCAGAACGGACAGTCTCCAGTTCCTGCAATCTATTGAAACAGCTGTGTGTAAAAGTAGGAACAGAGCGGTGATTTCCCAAATCTGGGACCACATGTTTGACTATGCTGCTCATTGGATGAGCATCTCTCCTTGCTATATAATGACCACCAGCACTTAATACTGATTACCCAATAACTGCTCAGTGCTTTGTTCTAACTAAACATATTGTTAGCACTTCCTAAACTAAACACAGTGCCAGAAAAGACACAGGCCTTGTGTTTGTAACTGCAGTGCCAGGCACAGCTGCAGCTAAGGAGAAATGCTGTTTACAAGAGCCAACTGCTCCTTCACCGCTCAAGCGTCGCTGTGTGTGATGGCCAGTGGAAAAGGCAGAATACTTCGATCATTTCCTCTTGGGTTAGTGAGGAGCCCCCCAGACCACAGGGACCTTGGCTATCACAGCCCCATAAACTAGCTTACCAGGAGAAGCCTGTGCCATACCCGACCAGTGCTGAGCCCCTTAAAAAGCAGAAGTGAGGACAATGCTGTTTCCTTCCTCACAGTGTGAATTATCCCCAACAGCTCCTGATGCTGATAGACATTGCTTACTGCTCCCTTTCTCGGAATAGTCCTCACCAGTCATCTTCTGGGACCAAGCCCACCCCTAATAAACACACCAATGTGACTGTTGCGGTCTGCTCCGATTGGTCACTAATAGTTCATTTCTTGGGTGGAAGAAGTGGTCCTACCACAACACCTGGACCCAGCTTTTCATTGTGACATTCATTGTGTGTTTGCACTTGCAGTAAGCACTCAGATACCTCTCAATGAGGACAGACCTGGAATAAAGGTGAATCCATGGGGAAATGCTATTGGCTGCCGTAGCACTGGCAGTGTAACCCACACAGGAGGTCTCCCACTTGGGTCCTTTGGAGGATGCAACCTGCTGAGGATGGGCCGTGCAAGCAGCATGAGGTGTGCCCAAAACAAGGTCAAAGCATAGCTGCATACGCTGTCAGTGTCGCACCCACCAGATATCATGTATGACCCTTCATGGGGACAGCAGTAGGGCCTGTTGAGAGAAAGGCTTCCTATGCTCTTGTATCTAAGGAATAAAAAACACTGCTCTATTTTCTTTTACTTCTCTGCTCTGTTCCTTCACCCCTAGCTTAGCTTAATTTCTGCATAGTAGTTATCATCATCAGTGTGATCAATACTCTCCAAGACATGTCCAACATGACTTAGGGCTCCAGGCTCTCTCTCCTGTTGCTTCGCTCCTGTCTTCCTCCAAAAGGGCCCTTGTGCACAGAGCAAGTGGGACTCTCAGGCCCAGGACAGCTAAAGAGCAATCAGCAGGGAGGGAAACTGCCTGCAAGGTGTTCATACTGCTCTTGTTCAATTTTTAATGGTCCCTCTCATTACTGAGCAGCCCTTGATTTTCCTATCAGCTCTACAGTACAGAAGAGATCCCACCATCTCATTCTGGACACAAGTGCCCCACTGCTCTGGCTTCCACCTCCACCAAAGTAGAACTCTGCTGCTGCTAAAGCCCTGGATGGGCCTGCCCTGGGAACAGCTCCTCTCTGGTGCTCATCTCTCACATGAACAGGGCACAACTACCCTAACCTGCATCTTTGCCCTGTTAGTCTAGCCTGTCAGCTCTGACCTCTCCCTGCACTAGGAACCCAAATGCTTCTCCCCAGGCCAGCTGGACGTCACCAGGCACAAGGAGAGATGTCCTTCCCTCCCACTGCTCAGGGGCTGCACCTGTGGTGGGGAGGGACCTGCCTGTGCTATATAACCACCCCTGAGCCACATGGGGAGTGCTCTGCTAGAGCTGGCTCCAGGAGGGGCTGAGATGAGTGCTGAGGATGGGAAGAAGTGTGGCCATGCTCCCCCGTCAGGGGACAAGAAGTCTAAAAGGAAACCAAAGAGAAAGGAGACCTATTCAGTCTACATCTACAAAGTACTGAAGCAGGTGAGGAAATGCTTCCTTATAACTGATAGCTGTTTCAAGTGCAGTTATCTTTACTCACTGATACTGCAATGAGAGGGGAGAAACACCTACTTTTCACTGAGCTGAAAAGAGAGTGACTGGGTAGAGAGGAGCCTGGGTGAGAGGAGCAGGGGAGAGCAGCCCCTGGAGGGGGTGGATCCACGGACATCCAGAGCAGTGGGTGCACTCTGGTCTATGGCATGGCCCTCGGAAAAGAGCTGGGGGATGTTGGTGAGTAGGAGCAGATCCTCTGGGCGTGATGAGCTGGGTGTTACAAGCCTTGCTTATCCTACAAGTTATGAGCACCCACTGTAGGCTGGGGAGATGAGGAAGAGGCTCCTGGAGGCAGCTGCGAGTCCTCTAGGCTTCAGTCATCTGTATGGGCCTTGGATCAGGGGGCAATTCTCCTTTGGCAGTGGGGTTTCCCTGGGATCCTGCAGCTCCAAGGTGGGTAGCAGTGGGGTGCTCTGGTCCAAGCAGGGATGTGTGGCTTGAGCCCCTGTGATGGTGGTGGGGGCTGTGTCCAGGTGAGGCCCTGAGGCAGTGCCGGCTCCTGTCAGCAGGTGCATCCCGACACTGGCATCTCCTCCAAGGCCATGAGCATCATGAACTCCTTTGTCAACGACATCTTCGAGCGCCTGGCGGCAGAGGCCTCCCGCCTGGCCCACTACAACCACCGCTCCACCATCACCAGCCGTGAGGTGCAGACGGCGGTGCGGCTCTTGCTGCCAGGGGAGCTCGCCAAGCACGCGGTCTCGGAGGGCACGAAGGCGGTCACCAAGTACACAAGTGCCAAGTGAAAGGGATGCAATAAAGCTGCACGGTTCCTGCTGCCGCACTCTGTCATGGCCTCGCTGGGGTGGTGACGTGCTGGATGTTGGGGGCAGTTCTGGGGGGGGCAGTGCCAGGCCTGGGGCTCCTCAGGCTGTGGCCAGACTGTGGGTCCCTGGGGCTGCCCTCTGGGGTAGCGGGTTGCTGGCAGGTGCCTCCCTCCAGCAGCTGCTCTGGTCTGGGGCTCTGGGAGCAGCCTGGGGCTCTTGGGGAGCCCTGGGAGCAGCCTCGCCATAGGTTCTGACCCACTCACTTCTCTGCTGTGACCTGTGCAGCAGCGGGGCCAAGAGCAGCACTGCCCATATGGGCCTGGCAGAAGAGCCTGCCCTGGCTACAGGGGAGCCCTGCTGCAACTGCTGCTGCCAGCCCAGCAAGAGGAGCAGGGTAAAAACTCTTCTACTTCTTTGCTTGTGGTACAACCCCCATGCATGGGTCTGGATAAGAAGCAAGAGGAACTGTGGGTTTTCAGCAGTGAGTAAATGAGGAGGCGCTACTTTACTGTGAGGGTGACAGAGCCCTGGAACAGGCTGCCCAGGGAGGTTGTGGAGTCTCCTCTGCTGGAGGTCTTCAAAACCTGCCTGGATGCCACCCTGTGCCACATGCTCTAGGTGTCCCTGCTGGAGCAGGAAGGTTGGACTGGGAGATCTCTAGAGGTCCCTTCCAACCTCAACCATTCTGTGATTCTGTAAATCTAGTGTGCTGCCCCTTCAGGAATCTACTGGCTTTCCTAGGACCAGTGTTTTTTCATGCTTGTCCCCTGACTCACACAGGAAGGATGAAATAGTTCAGGAAGAAAAAGCTTGCTCACCCTTTGGAATGCTGTTAGCACTTTTATAGGCCAAGTGTGTGTTAGATTTGTTTTGGCAACCAAATCTGAAAGGAGGATTAAGCGCAAGTGTCATCTTCTGCACGCAGCTTTCTATGGCCTAGAAGCTGCAAGGGGATCTTGCTTTGGGAGTTGCAGGTTGGAAGCTTAATTCAAACAGTATTGGTCTGGTGCATAAATATGCTGCACTGTTCTCCAACATAACCTTTCCTGCTCAGAAGACTCATCTGCAGTTTTGCCCTCTTAGAAAATGTAAGAATGAACTAGCCACTTAACTTGAAGTTGGTGCCTCTTTATGCTCCTGACCTCATGATGAGCAAATGGAGCAATGATGAGCAATGTTAATGAGGGATCCAATAGGCCATGTAGCATCCAAGAAGATGCTCAAGAAACAGGTTGTTCTTGGAGACTGTGCACCTCTAGGAGTCCCACCTTCCCATTGCAGTGGAGGTGATTAAGTGTTTTGTGCTGTGTGAAATGGTACTTCATAACCCTGGATGAGAAGGCTAGAAACTGGTCATTCCTCCCAGGAGGAGAAAGGCTCCCACTCTTCCTGAAGACTTTCTCTTAAGGAACAGGTTTAGTGACCTGCAAGCTGAGGATGAGGAGCTGGGCCTCACTTCAAAGGAAGGAAGGGGGTTAGCAGACTCTGTGCCTAGCAGAAGCACCTGGAAGAAGTGGTATGTGATTGCTGTGGGTGACTCTCTGATGCAGGGGATGAAGGTATGGATCTGTTGAGCTGATCCTTTTTCTAGAGAGGTCTGTTGCCTGCCAGGAGCTCAAACACAAGATATTATTGAAAGACTGCAAATCCATGTGTCAGACTGTCGCCCTTTGCTGTTCTTCCATGGGGGCACTAATGATACCGGGGGAAGCTGAAAGCTGTCAAACAGGATCCCAGAGCTCTGGAGGTAATGGTCAAGAGTCTAGAAACTCAGATCTCTTTCTCCATCAAACCTGCCAGGGAGGGGAGGAGTAGAAAGATTCCAAGTTAGCAGCTGGCTGCACTGCTGGGGTTGGCAGCACAGCTTTGGTTTCTTGACCATGGGGTCTATGGCCGGGAGCAAGGAGTCAAGCAAAAGAGGGAGCAGACTTGCATGGATGAGAAAGCAGTTCCTGCAAAACTCGAGCAGAAGGAAGCATACAGAAAGTGGAAAAGAGGGCAAGTCCCTCGAGGAGTGTAAGAATATTGTCAGGGTATGCAGGGATGTAATGAGGAAGGCTACGGCATGTTTGGAATTAAATCTGACAAGATATGTCAAGAACAAGAAAGACATCAAATATATTAGTAGCAAAAGGAAAACTAGAGAAAATGGGGACCTGCTACTGAATTGGGTGGGTGCCCTGCTGACAAAGGATACAGAGAAGGCAGAGTTACTCTCTGCTGCCTTTGCTTCAGTGTTTACTAAAGTCTGCCCTCTGGGACTCTGGAAACAAGAGAGGAAGCCCAGAGAAAGGATGATTTACCCTTGGTTGAGGAGGATCAGGTTATAGATCTGAGGCAAACATGACATCTGCAAATCCATGGGCCCTACAGGATGTATGCAGGAGTGCTAAGGAAGATCGGCGACGTTAATCTCATCGTTAGGCCACTCTCCATTGTCTTTGAAATGTCTTGGAGACAAGGAGAGATGCCTAAGAATTGGAAGAAAGCTGGTGTTACTTCAGTGTTCAACAAGGGTGGGAAGGAGGACTTGTCTACTGCAAGCCAGTCAACCTCACCGCTGATCCTGGAAAGCTGATGAAACAAGTCATCCTAAATGCTATCTCTAAGCATGTGGTGGATAAGAATCTGGAGTAGCCAGCATGGATTCACTGTGATTAATCAACTTGAGAGACTTCTCTAAGGAAGTGACTGGCTGGGGAGATGAGGGGAGATCAGTGGATGTTGTCTCCCTTGACTTCAGCAAGGCTTTTGACACCATCTCCCATAACATAACGGTTGGAGGCCTGTGGTTAGCAGTATCTCCCCGGGGTTAGTTGTTGGTACAATCCTGTTCAACTTATTCATTAATGACCTGGATGAAGGGATGGAGTGCTCCCTCAGCAGGTTCACTGATGATAGGAGTAGCTGACAGCCCTGACGGCTGAGCTCAGAGAGCACAGAGATCCAGAGAGATCTGGACAGATTAGACAACTGGGCCGGGAGAAACCTCATGAAGTTCAGCAAGGGCAAGTGCAGGGTCCTACACTTGGAGATTAATAACCTTGGACACCAGTACAGGCTGGGGACTGACCTTCTGGAGAGCAGCCCTGCAGAGAGGGACCTGGGCGTCGTGGTGGATGACACGATGACCATGAGGCAGCAGTGTGCCCTGGTGGCCAAGAAGGCCAATGGGGTCCTGGGGTGCCTTAAGAAGAGCATCTCCAGCAGGTTGAAGGAGGTGATCGTCCCCCTATACACAGCCCTGGTGAGGCCACATCTGGAGTACTGCGTCCAGTTCAGGGCTGCCCAGGACAAGAGGGATGTGGCGCTGCTGGAGAGAGTCCAGCGCAGGGCTACCAGGATGATCAGGGGCCTGGAACATCTGCCCTRKGAGCAAAGGCTGAGGGAGCTGGGCCTGTTCAGCCTGGAGAAGAGGAGGCTGAGGGGGGACCTGAGCAGTGTCTAGAAATACCTCAAGGGAGGCAGTGAGGAGGAGGCGGCCTCTTTTCAGTGGTGGCCAGCGATAGGGCTAGAGGGAACGGCCACAAGCTGAGGCACCAAAAGTTCCACAGGAACTTGAGAAAATACTTCTTGACAGTGAGGGTGACAGAGCCCTGGGACAGGCTGCCCAGAGAGGTTGTGGAGTGTTCTTCTCTGGAGGTCATCAAAACCCGCTTGGACGCAGCCCTGTGCCACGTGCTCTAGGTGACCCTGCGTGAGCAGGGGGGTTGGACTCGATGACCTCTGAGGTCCCTTCCAACCTTAAGCATTCTATGATTCTATGAACATCCTCCTAGGCATGCTGCAAAAGTGTGGCCTAGATGAGTGAACAGTTTCCCACCATGGGAAAGGAGAATACCATAGGCAGATGTGGGTCAGTCTAGTATTAATCCCAGGCAAAATAATGTAAAAACTGTTCTAAGACTTTTTTGATAAGAAATTAAAGGATTGGAACATAACTAATTATAATTATGGTTTGTGGAGAGTAGATCTTATTTGATCAAATAATGAGGTTTTTTGGTAATGTCAGATTTGTTCTTTTTAAAAATTAAAAACGTGCTTTTTTTTTGTCTTTAGTTCTACATGGCTTCTGCAAGGCACTCAATAGCAGGCTGATATCTCTGAGCTACCTAGTTCTCAGTAAGTTGAGATCATCAGTGAAGATTTTCTTTTTTTCTTTAATGAAGTTGATATTTTGTCTGATCAATTAAAAAAGAAAAAGCACTTCTGTAGAGCCCCAGTGACAGTATGTGGGAGAAAAATGGACATTTCAGGGCTTGCAAGGTGACATGGGTGTCATGAGGAATGCAGCTGTGACACCTGTCCCTTCATGTGGCTCAGTGGTGCAAGGGGTACAGAGCAGGGATGGGCCAGGTGACCCTTCCTTCCAGCCCTGCTGCTGCACTGTGGGGCTGCAGCCCATGGGGGGAAGATGAGAGGGAGGAGGGTGTGCAGGGTGCTCCATTTCCTTTTGGCTGCAGGAGAGCTCTGAAGGGTGCTCCTCTGCCTAGTGTCCTGCCTGTGACAACCTGTCCTGAGCACAGGTGTCAGAGCAGTATCACACCCGACAGGGCTGCTCTCCTTTCCTCTTTCCTCTGTAGCCCTTGAGGCCAATTACCCTGAGGAAGAGGCTGTGCAGGTGGGGGAGCAGATGCATCAGAGCTGCCTGTGAGCCAAGGTAATGGGGGAGACGGGGTATAATGTAGCATCAAAAGCAAGCCTGAGAGAATGGAGCCAAGGAGCTGCACCATGAGCAGGCTGCACTGTGCAGCCAGAAGGTCTGCTGTTCATGTGCCTGCCCAAGCTGGTCAGTCACTCCCTAGGTCAGAGCGGTGCATCCCTTACCCCTGCCAAGCACTCCTGCTGCCCTGGGCTCAGGCTTAGGCATGTGTGATGAGCACTCACAAATAGCTGGGAGCTGCAGAGCTGCAGTTCTGCTGCTGCCCTGGAGATGGTTCTCTCTGACTACTTGATGTTGAACATACTCTGATGTGCAG